CAATAGAAACCATGGGGGAATGGAGACAGTGGTAGGTGTTAATTATAATTTATCAAGGGGTCACAAGGGTGAGACGGGAGGGAGGGGAAAAAGAGGAGCTGATACCAAGGGCTCAAACTGTTTAGAAAATAACTAGATGGCAACATATGTATAAATATGCTTGATAAAAGTGATGCTATGGATTGTTCTAAGAGCTGTCAGAGCCCCCGATAAAATTTTTTAATAAAAAAGTAAGTAACGAAATAGTTTTAGGTAATAAGACAGGTTTTATATTTGAAAAAAGGGGGGTGGACCGGCTGCTGATGACAGTTCCCCAAAGTCATACAACAAATGGCCACTAAGCACATAAAAAGATGATCATTAGGAAATTAAGAAAATACGAATCAAAATCAGTTCATTCACTGTTAATAAAAAACACACAGACAGTGACAGCGACTGGCATGATGCAGAGAAGCAACTGCTGGACCTGTACCATGGTGGGTCACCATGGAAACAGCCCAGGCGGTCCAGTGTTAAACATCATCCCACAGCCAGCAAGTGTAAGCTTAGGGATGTACCCAAGAGAAAAGAAAATATATGTCCACACGAAAGCTTGTAGCCACCTCCATGCCTCTCACTCAGGGTATGTCACAGGAAACATGGAGGTTGCCACATGGCTCAAGCCCCTCAACAGCTGCCCTGTGAACGGCGTCAGCCTTGGGAGGCCATACAGTGCTGGGTGTCCTCTACCAGAACTAGTGAAACCACACAGAGCCGACACGTGGCACTCACCCCAGTGACCACTAAGGGGCTGGTGGGACAGGACAGAAGTTCCAAAATGACAATGGCAGTGGTAGCACAACAGGGTAGTGTAATTAACAACACCCAACCCGATTAAACATAGTTAAGAGGGTAAACTGAGTTACATCAGGTTTACACAGTAACAAACAGGAAAATGTGGTGATGACTGCACAATTCGGAACCAAAACCATGGCACAGCATTGCATATTTACAGGGGACAATTTGGTTTGTGAGAATAAAGCTGTTTAAAAATTACGACCTGGGTCTCCAACAAGTTGACTGATACACACAACATAAGGTGGTGCAACAGTTCACGGCCCGACAGCCAACTGGAAGGGTGGTGGCTCCAGAGGAGGAAGATCTGCAACCTAGCAACCGGCTCCCTTAAAAAGGATGGGTTGTGATAAGAATTGTGTAAGCCCCCAATAAAATGATTAAAACAAAAAAAAGGGCAGCCTAGATAACTCATTTCCTCAATTGTAAAATGTGAATAATAGTACTTATTTAGAGCATGTGGTTGATGGTTAAAAGCCAAGCATTGGAAGAAGCACATCAGCCTATGCAACCATGAGGTGTCGAAGGGATCAGGTATAAGGCATCATCAGAACAAAAAATCTTATCATAGTGAATGATGGGGGTGGTGGGGAGGGTGCGGAGTGGAGACCCAAAGTCCATTAGTAGGCCACTGGAGATCCCTTTGCAGAGGGGTCTCGGGGAGGAGATGAGCCAGTCAGGGTACGATGTAACAACGATGAAAAATACAACTTTCCTCCCCCGCTCCACTAACATGACTCAAATTCAACCTTGCAAGTCTGGCTAGACCAGAGGATGTACACTGGTACAGATAGGAACTGAAAATACAGGGAATCCAGGGCGGATGAGCCCTACAGGACCAGTGGTGTGAGTGGCGAAACAGGGAGGGTAGAGGGAGTGTGGGTAGGAAGGAGGGAACCGATTACAAGGAGCTATATGTGACCTCCTCCCTGGGGGACAGACAACAGAAAGGTGGGTGAAGGGAGACGTCGGACAGGGCAAGATATGACAAAATAACAATTTATAAACCATCAAGGGCTCATGAGGGAGGGGAAAAATGAGGACCTGATGCCGGGGGTTTAAGTGGAGAGAAAATGTTTTGAGAATGATGAGGGAAATGCATGTATAAATGCGCTTTACACAATTGATGTATGTATGGATTGTGGTAGGAGTTGTATGAGCCCCTAATAAAATGATTAAAAAATGATAAAAAAAAAATAAAAAAAGAATGTACAAATGTGCTTTACACGATTAATGTAAGTATGGATTGTGATAAGAGTTGTATGAACCCCTAATAAAATGATTTTTTTAAAAAAAGCCAAGCATTTACTTGTACATCTAAACAAATTCCTGTCTGTGGTGTCTACTCCTAGTAGTTGAGCGATTATTTCTGGGTACACCCACATAAATGTGAACTGTTTCAATGGGTTCACTTGTGCACTGGGCGGAAGCTGAGCCCCCTCCACACTCCAGGCACCAATCCTGTTCATTACCCACTTAGCTGCACCTGTGCTGTGCTCAGCAATGTCACAGTGCTGAGAGGCCAAAGAAGTCCATGAAAAAATTCCACTATGTTCATTCCATTTTCCCAAGAGTTTTTTGAAGTCCCCCTCTTATGTATCCAAGTGCTCAATGCAAAGCCCCCATATCTACACCCATCTTCATTTCTGAGAGCCCAATGTCAATCGACACCAACATATGCTCACAGACGTGTGTAGGTGAGTGGAGGTGGAGGTTGGGAGAGAAGCTGGAGGGGAGATGTAGTGAAGAATCTAGGCGGGCTGGCATTCCCATGAAGGCTTTAAAACCATCACAAGGAAAATGGAACAAGAAGCAGTAATGGTGGGATATCCGCCAAAAGGAAGGGCTACTCCAGACACTAACAGCAAGCAGGGGTCTTGTTTCACACACTAGCTTGACCCTGGGTGGTCCTTCCTACTCTACCCAACTCAGACACCATTTTTGTCATTCAGAACGGACAGGACCCCAGTGCTTCCTTCTTCCTATGAAGGGTGATTATGGGGCAAAACCCACTCAACTGGACCTAAAAACAACACTCTACCCTCAAAGTCAGAGGCTTGAGCCCATTGGCAACTCTTCCTGGGAGAAAGACAAGGCTGTCTGCTTCCATAAAGATTTACAGTCCCATAAATCCTATGTGGCAACTGAACTCTATTCTATAGGATCACAAACTGACTCTATAACCCTGGGTGGATTTTTAACTATGAAATGCAGCTTTTAATTATAAGAACACACTTTTCCATAGAGTGAATGGAGCATTACCATGGAAAGAAGTCAGTGGCTTAGGGTCACCGTGAACCACAACGTTGTCTAAGGTTTGTGAAGGGGGTCCTTCGTGGACAAAGGAGGGGTTAACTAGGGACTGGAGTGAGACCCGGAGTCGCAAAGACTGGAAAAAAGACATCAGGAATCACCATTACTGGAGAGAAGCTGGCCCGAGGGGGAAACCTCTGTATTAAATTCTACACTATGCCCGGAAGCCACTGCCATCTACTGAGCCAAATGAAGACAGCCCTGGGGATCAATGAGCTATGTAACAGCCTAAAATGGTGCCGCCACCGCTTACTCCAAGAGGCCTAGAGGCTGGGAGCTTACCGGCTAGCAGACAGACTGCTAAGGGAACAAACCCACCCTCAAGCATTCAACATGAGCTCTTCCCCTCTCCACCTCACACCCTCTGTTACCTAACCAGCTGCTTTGCAGCTATATCACAGGCCCACTTTTTTCCTTCCAGAATTCCACAGCCAAAGGGCAAATGACAGTCCTTTGGGTTGAACTGAGTGATGAGTGTTTAAAGTGTGTCGTCAGGGGATGCTGATGTGCAGTGAATCCATGAACTTCTCCAATCTTTTCCGCACTGTTCCTAACCTAGGACCCTCAAAGCTGCTTCCCTCCCTAGCCTCCCAAACGACTTCTTCATGCCAGTCATAACTCCCTAATCCATCGTGACAACTGGTAAAAATCTGGACAAAGTCTGAAGAGTAGCTAATAGGCTGACAGCAAGCTGTGGACAATGATCATTAAAGGAAGGCTCCGTGCAAGGTCTTCGGTCTCGGGATAGATCCCGATCAATAAATCAAAGAGTGAAGAGGCAGCATGCCTGATACACTCACAGTTTAGAAACAAAACACGTGTCTACTTATAGCCAGAACAAGTTAACAAGCCCTGCATTAAAAATGTTACTATGTAAAGATAATATGGGAACTCCTTTACTCTTCTTACAACTTTTAAGTCTGAAATTACACTGGGATCAAATGTTTAAAAGTCCCAAACACTTCATCCTCGTGTACCCTTGCTAACAAGACTAATGAACAAGCTGCTAGCTCATTTACACACATACTTTAAGTAAGCAATCAACTTAGCAGTATATGGAATGTTATTTTTCTGGGAAAACCATCAAAACGTTGAGAATACAAAAGCAGCTCTCTGCATCACCTTTCATGAAAACAAGACAATTAAAGGAGGCACCCACCTTCCTTCAAAACAGCGTCTAAGTGCTACTGAGGAAGCGAGAAACAAAGTGAAGGAAAAGTACACTGCAAGGAATGGCTCAAAAATAGGCAACGTGTATTGACACTGAGTTAATGCTGGGGCACTGGGCTGTGTGCCCACGTGGCCGCATCTAGGGCTGTGAGAACAATGGCCCCTAGAGACCCATTTCAAGTGCAAGACTGTTGGACCTCCGGACCTCCGTGGACCCCTGGGCCCCTTGGAAGCCCACCAGATCCAGGTGATAGTCCTGGGGTCTGTGGGTGGTTTCATTTTAACATGGCATTCAGAATCATGCAATCATCGACTTCATTCAATAGCTACAAGCGTGAATTAGCATTTGTGCCAAGAAAGAAACAAAGTAGAAACAATGCTGAAGCCACTAACCAGTACTCTAACACATGGCCTGCAAATCAAGATAGCGTGCCTTGCCGCTGCAGAATTAGTTTTCATCAATGTGCATAAACTAGTAAAATCAATCAAAATAGCCTTTTAAAGACCTGAAAAACGAGACAAACCACAACTAAGGTGCCACCAACACATCAAAATTATGTAACAGAAAAAAGCAAGTTTAGTGGCAAAGATCAATTAACACAATTCATAATTATGAACTTTGAGAGAATGACAAAATCCAGCATACAAACTAGAATAAAATAAAAATGATAACTTCAACTCACCAGCAATTTCTACAATATCACCAGGAACAATGTCTTTGGCTTTAATCCGCTGTACACTCTTTCTGTCTTGTCGATACACTTTGCCCATTTCAGGTTCATACTCCTTAAGAGCTTCGATTGCATTTTCAGCATTTCTTTCCTATAAAAGAAAAGATTAAAGCATTAAACGAGAGTCTGTCAATGTTTCTAGTCCAATGAATCAAACCTGCAAGAGTTTCAAACATAAAAAAAAGCAGTTATACAACCCACAAAAATACATAGGTTCAGCAAAGGATATATACACGTCTATCTATTTTTCTGCTGCAGATAAAGCCAGGAATATGGTAGTGTGCACATCGGGCTCAGACATGAGCTCTGAGGAGGAGTAAGTCACTTTCATCTTGGGAAGTGGCAGTGTCAACACCATGGTCTCAAAGGATGCCAGGGTTTGCTTACATAAGACAGTCACAAAGATAATGTTCCACAGCAAAACTGGGGGCACAAAAAGTTGTGAGCGGCTATCTAAGGTGCGGCTATTGGTCTCTCCCTCTGGAGGAAGGAGTGAAAAAAATCAAAGATGCATGAAAACAATCAAATGGCCTATGTAAACATCACTATTCAACTCCGAGAGCAGAACTAGAGCTCTTGCTGGGCTGCCACCAATGATGAGGAAGGGATAGTAGATGGTCTTGGATTGGGTGGGGGAAAATGTGGAACTCACAACCAGAAGAGACCAGGTTTCCTGGTTATATTGAGACTGATGGCAGTCCTGAGGCTGACTGTATAGCCCTTCAGGTCTAAACTGAGTTCTCACACCCTTGGCTCAATTTTCAGTCAGGTCTATAAGGGGATCAATGACATTAGGGAAGTGTGCACAACCACTTGACATCAAAAGTGCAGCATTTTTCCAATTCAAAGTTCACAAGGATTAGGAGGCAGCGGCACTGGGAGCAAGTAGGATAGGTGATGCTGCATTGTGGAGACTGCAATGAATGACACGAAATAAAATGTGTATGAATAACTGAGCTGCTTTGTAAACCTTCATCCAATACAACAAAAAGTTTTAAGAACATTTTACTTTAACACTAGATTTATGTACACTTCTTATATGCCTATCTCTATGGACACATACACAAAATCACACATTTTCTTAAAAAAACAAACAAACCAAAATCCATGGACAGCACCCTCTCCCTGCAGATGAATTCACTTCAGTGGACAGCACTGAAGCAATAGCTCAGGGAGAGGGACATGTCTGATCAGAGCACACAGGAGCAAATGAAGGGGGAGGAAGAGCGAGTGGGCCACATCCTGGCCCACCAAGCCCTGAGGACGATATTCCAGCTCAGAGCAGCCAAAGCACAGAGAGGACCATAGGGCCTGCCCCACTAGGAGACACGACGTCCCTCACTGACCCATAGTCCTACTGGGGACACAGTGTAGGAACTGCCCCCCATCTGACCCACCACACGGAGGGTGTGCAACAGAACAGCAAGGAGAGCAGAGCAACGAAGTCCCCAAGGAATACCAAAAATAGACTTTGGGCACCGATCAGACTCAACCAGAAAACACTCCTAAAGGTAAACAAACAGACCTTGAACTATTTACAGGCTTTCCTCTTTGTCATTGTTTTTTTTGCTTTGTTTTGTTGATCTGTTTTGTGTGCATATTATTATCTCTGCAGGTTTATTTAGGTAAGATAGGTGAGGAGAAAACGAGGGGGACAAAGAAGAGGGGGAGGCAAGGGAAAGGAAGTGCGTGTTAACAAACCCAGGGACCAGGTATCAGGCATCAAGAACAAAAACTCTTATCATTGTGAATGAGGAGGCGTGCGGAGTGGGGACCCAAAGCCCATCTGTAAGCAACTGGACATCCCCTTACAGAAGGGTC